GGATACCAAGCCAAGTGGACAGGTTTTGAGTCTGAGCACAATATGACTTGGTACTTTACTGTCAACTTTGAAAATGTACAGGATGCCATCTCAACCATCTACTAGCAATACACAGAGAAGCCTATTCCAAGTAACGATCACGTTCTATAATAAGAGCAAGAGAAAAGAACCCACATCCCTGTAGCCACTCAAGGGCCAGGATAATTGCCCTGAACATATCCAAGCAACCAGCCCCAAACACTCATTCATAGGACCAACAGATAAGGAAATCAAAGAACAAGAAGAGAAAGCGAAGTACAATGCCATGAGCCAGACAGTATGATATGACGACGGATGTTCCACATACTATAGGAATAAAGAAGGCTTATGATAGTTCACCAGAGAATAGTGAAAGCATAGTTTGTACCTGGACCATGGCTTAAAGTAATGGAAATAGTACTTCAACAATATGTGCAAGATGTACAGGGCATAGAAAATATCTGAAGGCTACTACCTACAGAAGGACAGAACAAAGAAAGAGAGGCAAGTAAAATAGGCCTGCAAAAGGTGTAGGACCTTGAAAATGAGGACCATGGAGGAGAGAGCCTAAAACTCTTTAAGGGAAATAGAGCTAGACATCAGAAGCCTATATAGGCATGTCAGAGAACAGCAGATATAACTAGGCCGAGACAAGGCCAGAATTTGGGTAAACAAAAAAACAATTGCAGATTTGAGACAAATAAACGACAATCAGCAATACACAATCAAAATGGAGAGCCTCACCCTGGAATCAGTAAGCATAAGATGGAGGTCTATAGACTACAAGTTCAATAGACTTAGGAGTTCCACGTGTGTAGCAGGACAAATTTATTGAAGCTTGGACAAAAGGTCTGATGGAACTCAGGCTTAGGGAGAGAGGAGCTAATATCCTGAACATGACTTAGCAAGGAAAGGGTTTTCATATGACTCATGATTTTGAGTGATAGGTATGTTACTGTTTTGCACATATGACCTATTTGAGTCATATGACTTATTATGTTATGATTTGGTATGTTTCGCACATGACTCAATTATAAGTCATGGGACTTGTGCCTAGTAAGTATGCCTTGCAAGTATGCCTTACTCATATGAATTATATTTCACACATAACCATGCTAATAAGGTCTTAGGATTTCAGTGTGTGACCACTTTGGGTCACATGATCTGGAGTGGGAAGACTACTATATAAGAAGACTGGTATGGCCAAGGAGGATAGGCTATTTATACTTTATTCTAAGTACTTTCCTTGTCCTTGCTTTCACTCTGCCTCAGTAGTGAGCTTCTGCGCCTGTAATAGTTCTTTTTGCCTGGCAGTTATCTGGATTTGCTCAGTATCTAGACATTGGGGATTGTCCTATGGTTGAGGACTTGTCTACTTATTTGCTTCTCGTTTCATCGCTCACTAGTTATCTCCCGATACAGGCACTTTGATCTATTCATCACTGTCGCTTTCATGCTCCTTTCGGTAAAATGTCTACAGCTTCCTGTCTATCATCTACTTGCACATTTCGCATTCGATTAGGGGAATTGAACTTTGTATTTAGGGTGATCACCCATGTCATTCTTTAGACCAGATCATATTTCTTTTTGGATTTTAATGGAGTTCTTAGTTCTCACAATGCAAAATGCCCATAGGTATACTTGATGACCATCCCGTGTTTCAACTCATCATACTGGCAGTATTATTCCTCAAGTGACAGGACGGTATCCACCCTGCCCCTCCTCATTACTACGTCTTTTTATGGTCAGAATCCTACAATGTTGTTTATTACCTTCCCTGGGAGTTCTTGTTCTTGCATCTTTGCAGTGGTTTGGTCTGGTATCTCCTCCTTGCTTCGGTAAAGATGACTTTGATCTGGAAAGATCTTACCCTCTAGACAGCTTTTCTTTATTGCCTAGGATGGTGTAGGATGATTAGCTACCAGACACTCGCATTGTCTGTGCTTCACTGTGGTTCAGTTGTGGATTGTATTTGGCAACTATACTTCTTACAGGTGGGACCTGCATTCAATTTGTCTGCTCCTGTTCATTCGTCCTTCCCCTTCCTATTGTATCAGTTGGAGGTACCTCTTGCCGATTATTTGGTCTACAGTTCTGACGGACATGTGGAGCCATCTTCGGATGGTCTTGCCTGTCTCTTTCCCAGCTTGGTCAGTCCTCTGTTTGGCCGGATTGGTTGGTGTGGCTTGTGCCTGTGCTTTCAGATATTAGTGCGGCCTCTCTTGTAGCTCCTGATCTTGGCTGAGGGCCCCCTCCGTTATGTGGTGTCGAGGCTGGGACTCTGTCAGGTGTGGCCAAGACCAGTAGCTGACCGGTCAGGTCAGCTATCCACTCTCTTGTACCTGTCGAATTGTTGCTCTGTCTGAGAGGCTGAGCGGTCTGGATGGGTCCTGTGGCATCTAGTGTACGGGGCTTGGAGGTGCTGATTGTGGGGGAAGAGGCACCCTGTAAGCACTAGTCGGGCCTGTGTCAGGTTGGACGAAGTCCAATTAAGTATTTCCAGTCTACTGGGACTATTGAGGTGAAGCTGCTGAGTGTTGTGAGAGTGGGTTGCAACCACCTGGTTGGACTTGTTTGCATCTTGTGTGCTGGATTTTGTGGGATTTGTTTAGTTTCTTTGATTTGGTTACGGGTATGGCGGGAGGGGGTAAGGTACCACAAGTATAAGATAGGCTCTACTGACCATCTCAGTCTGTCACTACCTCTATGTATTTCATTTGTTTATTTTTGTTTGGTTTATGGGCAATGGGTACATGTCCTCCTCAGTAGTATGCTCTTCTGAGACAACTGGCAAAGTGGGTTCATAGGGTTGACTGCCTGTCATGCAGGCATGAGAGGCGGACATATTGGTTACCTCTTCTCCACCATGGTGCCACCTGCGGAAATAAAATTGTTTGTTGGTTTTCTATTATAGAGGAGGTTTCACGGGTCAGTATTTAGATTGGGTGGTAGTTTTTTTATATTTGTTTGACGAGGAACCTGATTGGGTTGGTCTTTTGTTCAACTTCAGCTATGCTTAGTACTTGTTGGCTTCATACCAGATGGGCTACAGACTTGGACTGGGATGGGTGCTGGGTAGTTGTATAGTCTTGTAATTAGTTCTCGTACAGGCATGACTGGGAAATGGCAGGTACATAACCCTAGCCATAGTTAGCTTAGGTTAAGTGGTATACTGGTTAGCAGTATCCCTGTACTGGTAGGGATTCCTTGTATGCTAGTATTGGTGGTGCAAGTTTTAATAAAATTAGATTGACTTCTAGGTACTTTTCATAGTTATTCCTTTAATGAATATAAAACACCATTACGCTTTTTACCATTATCATGATCTTCATTACTATTATAAAGAGAATACTCTATACGAGGTAAAGTTCGAGAAAGCTTACAATAGGTATTACTGATAGACGACCAAGATCTTGCACTATCCGTAATATAGGCATAGGCCTCTTGCTATATTATAATAAAGAAGAAGAAGACAAAGAAGAGAAGTATCATTCCCCATTGCCAAGAACTAACTATCTGAAGAGAGATCGTTACTGTACTGTCCAGAAGTCTACCAACCTAAAGCAGCAGTGGGTATTTTGGACCTGACAGGAGAAGTAGCTTACTGATTGTATTAAGCTACAGGGGAAGGAGAATGATATTGAGCTGATAGTATAGAATTGTTTCTGGGGGGAGGGGCACTGGGGACCATTGGTTCCACTCCTAGACAGTAGGGTTAATCACTTCATCTTTATCAATCCTTTATCAGAAACTCTACCACCAGTACTACAAGACATCACTGATAACATTGGAGACCCTGTATTCATGTAAGAAAATTCAAGTATTCATACAGCCAATGACACTTAAATAATTTGATGAAAACAATATTGATCTTGAATATTATGCTCCCCCTTTTCCTGGCCTTAACTCTATTAAACATGCTTGGGTTGAGCTCAAGTGCTACTTCTACCAAGAGTATCCTAACATCCTAGATACTCCCAGTAGCCCTGACAGGATTTGTGCATGTATTACTAATGTCGTCCCTCTTGTATGGGAGACCATCCCTGATAGCATCTTTAAGAAGCTCTAGCCATCTATGCTTTCACGAGTGGCAGCGGTAATTAATGCAAAGGGCTTGTAACTTGTTTGTAATGTGCTAATCACATGATTAGTAATAGGTACAATAGTTGGCAGGTGGCCTGCTCTACCAGAGAGTAGGCGAGAGCTGAGAACTAAAGAAGGCTTCAAAGGTATACAGGGAAAACTTAAAGAGTAACCATTCAATCAAGTTTATTGAAATACTGTCTGTCAAAATCCGCCTTTTCCATCATGGTGCCAGATAGTCTTTTAAATACACAAATCTGGTCATGTCTAGTATGAACAAAACTAATCAAAGGTATGAAGCGATACACTTTGGTAAAACCACTTAAGTATTAAAATGATACCTAAAACAAATCATAAAACAAAACCAAGCATCAAAGCAATACTTAAAACAAAACATAAATCAAAAACATGTATCAAATGATACTTAAAACAAACCAAGTATCAAAGCAATACTTAAAACAAAACATAAAACAAAACCAATAACCTAATACCTGTACCTGTTACAGGGCTGGTATACTTGTTACTAGCTATATAGATAGACTCTGGTTCTGGCTACCTTTCTCATATTAATTTTTAATATTTAATTTGTAATATATAGTTAAATTTAATATTTAATTTGTAATATATAGTTAAATTTCATTTGATCTTTCTCAATGGGTGGGCACGGACATTGTGTCAGATTGCGCCATCACCAAGACTTTTGTCTAGTGTCTGTATCATACTGCATGCTAAAAAAAAAAATTTGAAAAAAAAAAAACTCTTGATATAATGTTATGATACCTGCATAATTACCTGAAGAATATCTACTACATACAACCCGTGTAAACAAGCCAGGAAAAGAAAACACTCCCACATTTAATAATCAAACAGATAAACACTACCCATCGCAATTCCACTAATTCTTTAAGAGCAAATATATTTACTAACACTGCTAATGTAAATATGAAGATAGTGAAAGCGATTTCACGTATAATGCAAGTTTATATATGTATGAATGCCAACCCCTCTCGCTTCTTTGTAATATAGAGAAGGGGCGGGTGTATGAACAGATGAGGATAAAGGAGGAACTTTTAGAATAAATAATGGAGAAACAAGGATTGAGGTAAAAAAGGAAAACAAAAAATTGAGCTGTGATAGAAGGATAGAATATCGGGCGAGGAATTATGCCCACCTTTAGCAATAATGCGTGAATGCCTCCACAACTCCGGGACACTTGTCAATTGGGGGGTACCCCTCCAAGTCTTTCAAAACTCGTAATTCAAGAATTTGCGTGTAGATCGGCGCGTGCGTGCATCCTGTCTCTTTTGTACATATCCGATTGCCACTTCGGTGGTTTGAAATTGTTATCTTCCCTTTTCCGCCACCTTTCCTTTTCTTCCATCTTTCACCTTCCATCCTTCTGGCTTTATGATCTGCCAAATTCTTGCAATACCAATAAAATGAAACAAATAAAAAAGCAAAAATAAGCATCGTGAAAGGACACTCTAGGGAAAATCGAAACGAAAACCAGACAGAATATAGAAAAAACCAAAGGTGCGCAGTAAAACCCGCCAAAAACAGCATGAGAGAAAAAGATTATATCCAAAATCGCCGCTTATCCAATTCCACTACAGCCGTCCTTATGTAACTATCTCCCGTCGCAAAACAAATACCCCCACTTCAATCCCCCTCTCCTTAACGCGTCTATCACTTGGCACACTACTAATTTCATAGTCGCCCACAACGCCTCCAACTCCAAAAGTTCCGGGCCCCGCAAGAGCACTGGCCACAACTGCTTCACTCATCCCCCTTGATGAAGGCCGTACGGCAGGGGCCCTTACACCGTCGAGAACTTCTCTCGCCAGGTCACCAGGGGCACCATATCCAAATGAATATTTTGACTGCGGAGACGATGGCCCTGTCGGCGAAGACGGCGTTGAGGAGGCTGTCGTGACCTTTATTGCCAAGGAAGGAAAACTTCCAAGCTTCGGAGATGACATTGACGCAGATTTGGCGTGGTGTGATCCATGAGGGCCTGAAGCATTTGGCGATACAGGAGTCTGGCCTTCTGCAGGTGGTTGCAGGCTAGAAAAGTGCCGCTTCACTGCCTCTCTGATTCTCAGCTGCTCTTGCTGAGACCACCACTCCCGCCAACTGTTGTCGTTCAACTGAATCATAGCCTTCTGTGAGTGCACCAATCGCACACGAGTTTTCGGATAGCTCGAATCAAGTTGTAATCTCGAGGCCTGAGAACCTGAACCACTCTTGCCCCACATCGAATTATCATTGATAGCATGAGAAAACCTCGTACAAAAGTTATCCAATTTCCATCGTAGTCCTTCGAATTCATTCATTTTTTCGATGGCAGCCATATTCCGGATACCCCACAAAAGATCTTCCCGTAGCATATAGAGAACCATTAATTTCCTCAAAAGTGGATCCAATACTGGACCCAAATATTGCTTGTCAAAGTGTTTGGCGCCAGTTTTTGTGGGATAAATAAATAATAAGCTTCCTCCACGCGGGGAAAGCTCGTGCAATCGGTCAAGAATCACGGATGATTGGGTAGAGAACATACTAATATCCTCAGCATTTGAAGTCGGTGGGATATATCGCTCTAGGAGTGTCATGTGAAGGCTGAATGGCGGTAATATGGGATTCGGCGGTGGGATCGTATGCGTGCGATGGAAGGACATGCTAGGAGCTGTAGGAACATTCTCGGGTGCGACAACAATACTATTAAAAACAGTAGGTGCAAAGTAACCTCCTCCTCCATCCGCGCACCCCCCGGGAGAAGTGTCAAATCCTCCACCGAAAAAGCCACCAGGACTGCCTACGCACCCGTTGGCTGGGGGAGTCGAAGGAAGCCTGTTGAGTGAGATACCAGGTGATATAGCATGGGAGACATGAATATAAACCCTTTTTGTTCCGTCGCTGGAACAACGTCTTTGAATATTTCTTGTAAGCGTGTGCAGTGCGGTTGTTATCCCATCATCCGCCCCGATCAGCCCATTGGGAGTTGAAGATCCGCTGTCAGCCTGTGCTCGAGAATGGCACCTTGCAGTGATAGCTGGCGAGAATTGCTGGCCAGCTGCCGCAGCAACGGCGGGCGCAGCAGCGGCAGATGCTGGAAGCCTATCAGGATTTGAGCCTAGATTACTGGGGATGGGAGTTGGGGTTGCAGAATATGCAGAAGCTGTAGGTAAAGGGCAGGGAAGGGTGTAAGATAACATTCGAACGGCCTCTGTAGTCATTTGCACGGAAAGAGCACAGTCGACTATCCCAGGAACATTTGTCCTCCTCTATTAGCCACGGCAAAGCAAGTTAGGCTATTGAAGAAAGTACTAACAAAGCGAGGTCATAGCGTCCTTTAACCACCCTTCTTCAACAATATCCTCATGGCTTGTGCTCTCAGTATCACTGCTATCCTCGGATTTGTCCACAGAGGTATCCCCTTTCTCATCTATGGCTTCCCGCCTGGTTTCGGCTGTCCCGGCAGACTCTCCGGATGTCATTCGAGCTGTTCTCTCAGTCTCCTCCGGGCTTTTTAATACCTCTATTCGCCTTCCGGCTGGAGTTTTTCCTGGTAGGGCTGGCTTTGGATCCTCATTATCACAAACCGCGGCACAGACGGGATCCTTCGCTGGAGCAGTCGGAATGACCGAGACCAGTAACTCGGACATCTCTTCTCCCCTCCACTCGAGAATCCCATTATCATCGGGTGGTGTAAGAGGAGCCAATCCACCTGGAGCAAGATGCGGGTTCGCAGCTAGTAGTGCCGCTGTAGCGCCACCCGCCCCAACGACCTCATGGTTCGGCCCCATACCACCCCTAAAATCGATATGCCCAGCTCTTTTCCCTTCTCTACCAATTCCGGCACAAATAACTGGCATATTATTTACACTTGTATCGGGAGTGGTGGGGAAAGCAATTCCAAGTAATGATGGTCTCGGGCGGTGATTTTCTTGAGTAATTATGAACACTCCTTCGCTCTCAGCTCTCTCACCCCGCTGTGTGCCTGGAAGGGCATGTCCATAATCATCAGCCAGATGAGGGGGCGGTGGAAGTTTCAGCTTCAACGGTGACTTTGGTGAAGCCCGGGAAGGGCTCCTTTTGGTCCTCGGGGCGGTATGAGTTGGGTCCGACCTGCTATGGGGTAATGGGGGATGAGACAGAACAGATGATCTGGCTTTAGCACCTGTGATTTCCCCAGAGGTTTGTGCTCCACTATCCAGAATAGCTGGGCTTGTCTGGGGCTGCTCCTTAAAATGAAGGCCCCACGGAAACCCTGAATAGGGCCGCTCCAGTATAGACCCGGGTGTCCGAGGGCTATCGTCCTCAATCGTCTCAGCACTATTCACCCAAGGAATGGGGCTGGGTGAAGCAGACGTTGCGCTGGTAGACCCAAATGCAACAGCAGAAGTTACTGCGGGTGGGCTTGAAGCAGCCGCTCTACCGGCCAGGAGCGGAATACACGGATAAGACGAGGATGTAGTTAGTTTTGAACACCGAGAGGGCGATCTAGATCTCAGCCCCTGGCCGGAGGATGATTGTGGCCGGCTTCGGTGCGCTGAGTCGGTCATTTGGTTTTCAAAAGAGAAACCCAAATTCCTCCTCAAATGTAATAAAAATGGAGAATCCCTCAAGGGTTCGGGGGAACGATATCAACCTCCTTCGCTCAATCTACCCGCAAAAACTAATCGGTTAGTAGCACAGCCAGGGTAACAGCAAGGCTCGACCTAGGTAGCAATGCGTAAGTCAGACCTGAGGCCCCCCGATCCTTCCCCATTTCCCATGCGAATATCGAAGGGGAGGAGAGAGATGCCCTTACCCACAAAACTCAGATAACGGGGCTTCACAGATGAGAACTCGAAAGGTCAATTCTAGAAGGACTGTTAGTCTTGCGGATGTTCTCCCGTAAAGTGTATGGTAGGGTGAGTGATGAATGATACGATCTGAGTGAAATTCGCAAGAACAAGGCGAGCATGAGGAGAAGCCCCAACAACTAAGAGAATTCAAAAGTAGATTGAAACAGAGTGTTAATATCTTCGGAATGGAACACCTTGTCCAGCTGCATAAGTGTCCAGCGGGCCACACGGGAAGGAAACAGAACAGGCTGACAAGGAAAAGGGTAAAAAAAAAATCTTACCCCCCAAAACGGCCTCCACAATTCCGTATCTTCTGTGTTTATTTTTTCGGAGCGTCACAGATCAATCCTCGGGAAACAGTAGGGCTGAGACTCGGGTTCAATAGATATCTGTAGTTCACAGACCAAAGATGCCAGGGATGTGATATGAGGGCGCACCAAATCTCAAAGTCTATCTTGTCTCCTTCTTTTATTAAAGTCTCCCCTTGCCTCTCTCCACAATTGCCCTCTGGCCTACCCCCGGGTCCCCGCAGCTCAACCCCTAGGATTACTCTTCTTGGCTATCGTCGAGCCAGACTTCTCTCTCAATTCCACTATCCAAAACCAGTGAGCCACAAAATCCACCTCAGATGCGAACCCGTGAATTCTTCTGCGTTTGCTATCCGGGAAGAAGCCCTGCTCCGAGGAAGGCGTGAGGAAAAGAAAAAAAGAGCCAGTGGAAGCCCCTTTCCCTTTCTTTTCTTTCTTCTTTCCTCTCAATCCCGCCAACCTAGGCGGTTGGAATGCACGTTTGTGAATCCCTTCGTAGATGTGAGCGAGCACTAACAAAACGGAGAACGGGTCGGTTGGTTTACACACAAATTATTATTTTTAAGTGTGATCTGTAGGGAGGTGGGATGTGCCGAAGAGAAGACTATCCAGTCTGGGCAGTTCGGCAAATGGGTCGCAGATCGTTGGATCGTTGGTCGGCCCCCCGATAATTATTGCTTCCGTGTCCACCTTTCCTATGTTCTGCTAACCAGTCGCTCCACTGCGACCTGATCTCCCACGCTGTGTTGGCTATGAATTAAAGGATACCGTACTCCAATGAAAGGCTCGTAGCTAGGATTGGCTGGTCTGGCCGGATGCAAGGTCGAAAGTCTTGTTCTGTGAGCTCAACGTTGCTTCTGTTGCCTCTTGTTTGAAGGCAAGTCGCTCGGCCGGCTGGAGAAGGTGTTTGTTGCTGCTTGCTTGCTGCTGTTACCAGTAGAAGGTGTTTTGGTGGGATGGATATCTGTGCGCTGCGGATAAGAAAGGTATTGAGCGAGGAGGAAGAGCTTGGGAGCATGGGATGAACTAAACCCCACCAATCAGCTGCTGAGACCACACTGCAGAGACCCGCCAGGCAAAGAGGAGGGGAACAAAAGGGCTGGAACGGAGTTGACCTACCGTACGGTACCCGTATTACCCAGGTAACTGTGCCCTACTGGACGGGTGGGTGTATGAGGAATGCGCGTAGAGAGCGGGAAAAAAAAAAAGAAAGAAAGTCAAAGAGGGCAAAAGAGAAAGCCAACAGCAGAGGGCAAGAGGGGAGGAGCTCGGTTATACTGCGGATAGGCAGGGGGAAGGAGGATTCATTTTTTTTTCCCTTACAGTTCGATTTTTTTTGTCTTTCTTCCTTCCCACCAGAGAGCGCCTTCGATGGTTGTGTCTGATTGTCTGTCCCCGGGGGCCGGGCAGCGTACCGGTCTGAATTGACGGGGATACGATAAATGCGATAGGATATGATTGTACTGCGCGGGTACTCGAGGGGAGGGGGGAGGGGAAAGGAACCGATTGATGTGATGACAGACGCTACGGTATCGTACCTCTCAAGTGCTATCAACTTGCCCAGTTGCCTTCTGTAGAAGACAATGGAACAGGAGGCCAAAGGGAAGGAGGGGAGAAAAGGGAGGAGGGAGGAAGAGTAGGAGAGCCACAGAAAGCAATCAGCCAGCGTTTCAAGTGAAAGTACTGAGGGTGTGAGCACAAGTCTGTGGAACTTGGCCCATCCCTCGAAATTTCTATGTGTGTAACCTTTTTTTCCCCAGTTACTCGGCCAATCTACTCCCATTTTTGGTGAGTAAAAAAAAAGTCTGTTGAGCTCCCGCCTGGTGGCTAGAGCTATGTGTAGACAGAATCCCGTCCTCTGAGTGGTCGAGAGGCAACCGAGCCAACCAGTGGAGTTCGACAGGTAACTTTTGCCTTGATGTCCCTCTTACAGTGGTTGAGCACCGGTGGTGGTGGCGCTACTATTTGTTTTCGATTTTTCTTTGCTTCTCTTTCCCTTTCACTCTCTCGAATTCACGAGAGTTGCAGGCCAATAAATCAATAGGGGCCCTTTTTAATTCTTTGAGAAAGCGACGGAAGTCAATGGGTGGTGGAGATGGTGGAGTCGCCAGTTTCACTGCCCCCCCATTATCTGAGCGATTACCGTTGCCTACCGTGGAGTCTAATCGAGCATGGTACTTGTATCTATCTTCATTAGATATTCCCTCTTCCCTTGTGAGCACCGAATTTCCTGTATTTCCTCTTTCGCTCTGCGTATCACGAATGCCGCTCATCCGCTCGTTTGCTGCTCCTCCGCGGGGACGGAGCTGGTTCCCACAAGCGCGAAGTCGTTAGATTACTGGTAGATATCTTACTCGAGCACCGTGCTCGAGTATTTCTTGCGTACTCGCTTACCGCGGCCTAGCATCTACATTCTGGTAAACCGACATCTGGCGGATATGTAAAGAGCTAGAGAGGACGAACATCGATCATACAGATTCTGGCCGCATTACTATTGTTACCAACACCTGTACAAGATTCCTTGAGAATGGGAGGCCAGCTCCAGCCTGGGGGAGAATTTTTTGAAAAAGTGATGGAAAGATGAACAAGACCAGTTGGAAGCAATCTCAAAGAACTCTTGGATAGTACTGTACAGTAGTAACTTGGAGCCTGAGTAAGAAGGACTCAAGCAAAATTACAGTGAACAGTACTAACAGAACGCGAAGTATTGAGTGAGTATTTCAAATGCAGCCTTAACCAATAGTGAGTTATATATATATTATATAATTATATTATATAATTATATTATTATGTTATTTAATACTCAAATATGTACTATAAAGAGATCATAGAAACTATCTAAACTAAGATAAATGAAGTATCTAATCCAAATGAAAAAATTTGTATAGTACATGAAAGAGAAAAGTCAAGAAAACCTCTTAAACTATAGTACTAATATAGTATAGGTAAAAAAAAAAGAAAACTAGCACCAAAATATAATATATGAAGAGAGGTTTATAGAAGTAAGAGAAGAAAACAATATATAGATAATCTCTATTAAGTATTCAAGTTTAAAGAGTAGAAACATTGGATACTAGGAAATATAAGTCAGGTATTATATTATAATAATATTAAATCTATTGATAAATTATATTATACAAAAAGTTATATCGTAAAAATCTAATAGGATTAATCAGATAAAGCGAAATATACTATAGTAAACATCTGACCTTTACCAAAGTGCTTTATTAAATTTTATTAAAGGATTTTCATATTACTATTCAATAGTAACTAAGTCAATAAGAGTTTAAATAGGCTAGGATCTAATATCGTTAGTAAGTAGTAATTTTTCTAGGGAGTTTTAATTGCTTTTTTCATCTATAATACTTTAGTATTTTTTTACATATATTGTAGATAAACTTATATAATACTTACTATCTACGGTGCCTTATCAGAAGTGTTTGTGATCGTCTTACTAAGAAACGTCACCAAAAATACCACCTAGCCAAATGCCACCTCGCTGATCATGCAACCGTAAGATACCTGCCCCATACAATATCTACACCATGATACGGTGATCCTCTATTCAAATAATACTTTAATTTTAATTTTCTCTGAATTTCCAATCGTTAGCCAATCCGGATATAAATCAAAGTCAAAAAAGCGAAACCTAAAGACCACGCAAAATGAAATGACCAATGTGGAAAAAGGCATAATTCTCGGATTTTTCCACTGCCTTCAGAGCATTGCTCCGGTTGCTGAAATTATTGGTCGGCCATGGTCAATTATTAAAAGCTTCCTCACTCAAGCATGTGAGCATCTATTCTTAGATAATACTCCCCTTCCTGGTCGCATACCTATTCTCAGCCAGCGACAAT